TCCTAGTCAACGCACCCACGTCCTTTAATGACCGAAACGTGAATCTTTCAATAGCACGCTTTGAGACTGCAGATGGTGGGTGAAGGTGCTTATTGAGTAACTCACAAGCGTGAAAATGCTGTGTAACGCAACACTGAAGAACAAGCGGTAAAAGCATCGATGCTTTGACTTGGATGTCTAGTGCTTAAATTAGACCCCGTTGATGGGGGCAGTTAGCATAGGACGGAGAAACAGAGGTTGACAGTCACTTGCAAATGAGAAATAGTCAACGAATGGGTGAAAGAGGAAACAGACGAGCGAGAACCTACCGCGCTATATCGAGGATTACACAGAATGTTGAGGGCGAAGAGCTACGTCGTGGGTGGAGCGCACCCATCCTGATTGGACCCTGACATTCTTACCAAGCGAGCAGTTTCGCGTGGCAAATATGCTATACATTCTACGATATCGTACCGCACTATCTTGTGCAATGACAAGATTCTGCACGTCAGATAATGGTTTCCTTCGAAAACAAAATTGTCGTACCTCCATCAGCTTGTATCAACGGACTGACGACGCTGGTCGGTCCGTCTTGGAGACTTGCCCGCTGTAGCAGCTCACGTCGCATCTGGATGATCTCGTACTGTTTCGAATGGTGCCATTTCATAAGCTTGAGTCAAGGCGTGCACCTGAAAGGTATGCAAGTTCTCGAACATCTGTCAGTTGCACTGCTGGGGGCGAATTCCCCGATCCTAATGTAGGCGGAGCTGGGCCTTACTCGCTGACGCGTCGCCCCTCTTCACCGTCTTCGAAAAGAGTAGGGCACCAATGAAAAAAACAGTGGCATACATACGAGCATGAATGAGTGTGATGTGTCTCTTTAAGCTTCCAGCTCAGATTTCTTTCAGAGAGGGCAGAAGCGGCAAAAAATCTATTAGCTAACTCTCGTAGGGCCTAACGCTGAATCCTACCCAAATAAACCTACTGTTCCTGAGAAGGCTATCTAGCACTCAGTTTTCAGCGCGGTGCGTCGTACGCTAGGGATTTTCAGCAGGAGGAGACGTATTTGCCTTCGAGGAAAATGTTCGCGGTTGTTGATTTTTCCCGTCTCGCTATGTATCCAGCCCCCCTTCCGAAAAGGGATAGGACCTTGAGGAGAGGGCATATTTTATAAATTTTTTTCCACCAGCAGGACGTGGCCTGCTTGTTAGAGAGTCGTCAGCTTTCTCTACTTCTC